GTTGCTTTTCTGCCTCCGAAGGCTCACATTAGGTGGGTGAATTCAGAGCGTTCACTTCCATTGCCGCCTTGGCGATGCTCTAAATTTTGGCCGCAATATTAAAGCTGCAATATAAAGAGCTTAGCACGAAATCCTCGATATAGTTTGAATGTTTACAGCGACACGGCACGAGTATTACTTTTTTGTTTCCCCGATTTGTGACTACGCTATTTTCTCTCGGATTTCACTTTTGAACGTTTCGCCTCAAATGAAAAATGGCGGCTTGGCTGTCAAAAAGGTTATTGATGAGCGAGCTTAAAAAGTTTTATGCCGTTGGCCGTTGGATTACTTATTACGGGGTTGAGACGCACGAATGTGAAGTCATTTAATTTATATGAAACACATCATTCGCATTATTTCATTCATAATGCCTTTCATTAAAAGAGAAGTACTGTGATAACTATCGACAAATTTATTGAGTGCTCTCGCATCGACAAGATTGTTAATCTTATGAGCTTCCAATCTGCGGTTAGGGATCGCTTCTCCAATTACTATAGCTAAGTAAGTTAGTTGGACCTGGAGCAAGGCCTGAATATCGTCTCGATTCCGTTGATGGAAAGTCATAGGAGCGAGTGAGATAGATGTACAGAGGAGATGTATTCTCCGGCGTTCGCCGTTGCCCTGGTTTAGTGGAAGGCGCAGACAAGTGGCACTAAGTTAGCGTCGCGGTCCAGTGTCCGAGAGCCACTGAGTGCCTTCGAAATTATTGAGAAATGGCTTTGTGCATTGCTGGCGAATAGCTCCGTTGAATGGAGGCTCGGGACAAATGCGGTCTGTACGATGGTGAGCCATTAATACCACAATGGCAAAAATTGCTGCAATGCATAAAGACAAAACAGGAACTCAATCTATTACACTTTATTTTTTATTTAAAAATGCCACTGGCATTACTATTCTAATTTGGAAATACAGATTGCATTTTACCGGATGAATAACAGAATATACTTAGTTATTTTACTTCAAGATTTCTTTTCAAAAGTTTCGTACCGACCAAAGAATTCTCCACTTGATTTAACTCCCCGGGTAACAATCTAAGCACGTTTTAATTCACAAGTTTTCGGGCTTGATGACTGCACCCCCTGGATGCAGGAGGCGAGCGGGGGGTGTGGATCGTGACGTGAATCTCGAATGGGACAATAAAAACCTGAGAGGTAAGGGCATTTCTTTCAGGAAATTAGCTGTCACATTAGCTACCCGTTACCGGACCGTTTGTATTAGAGGCTGATTTAAAGTGAAGAGAAATCGAGGCGTTATCGTAAGGTCAATCACAAAACAGATAAAATAATGTGTAGGGTGGTTAATAACCTTTAAAATATCAATATGGATTGTTATAACGCGAATTTTATATACAAATTATAGTCTTTTTTATTTTAAATACAAATGCCACATTCTATCTAATGAAGAAGATCGTTAAAATCCTTACCATAAACTTTGACTAGTTAAGGCGTACAACTGACCCGTCTATATTTCAATGGTGTAATTAAACGAAATTGCAAAGAAAAATTGTGCCAGCATTACACGGTCCCGGCCAAATTAAGTTTACGCGAGCTAATTATGAGTAATGACTTGTTTCTCATGCCGGTGAACACTTCAATATTCCGTCTGCCCCTGACGGCTGTCGTTAATTTTTATTTCCCCCACCGCTCCCCGAAGAGTTTTTACACGGCGAATAACCCTAGCGTCAAATTAGTTTTTTTTCTTCTTCTTTTAAAAACTTTGCTTAACGTTTCCGAACGTCTGCTGTACTAGCAACTGTTTCTTTTCTTGAAATAAGATTTCATTTAAACGTTTCTCATGAATATTGTGATAAAAAAAAAAACAAATGACGGCTTGCATTTTTTAAAATTGGAATATTTTGTCAATACTCACTCCAAACTATACGCACAGGAAGTATGAAAGTGACCCAATTCTAATAATAGAATTTGGTCTTTAGGTCCGCTGCTTAGAATTTTGATTTCGACAGCCCGAAATATTTAATTGAGTCACTTTCACTCAGTATTTCTTGAATTCAATTCACTTATTGAACCTTATTTGTCGAATCTATAGGAAACTTCATCATTTTGATAATTTTGAACTGATATAGATGTACTGTAGGTATCTATGTACATATTTACTATAAATAAAAAATATTTCTGGTATAATATAATATTTTTGGGATTTGAAATTTGGAATAGGAACTTGTAAATCCTACTAGTTAATGGATATGGAACAAAGTCAAAAGGAAAAAATCTATATTCTCGCTGTGTAATAAACATATTTATGTTACAATGAAATCTGTTCTATAGCACAACTTTATTTACAGTGTTATTATATATAATTCAGTTTAGAATTAGTTATTTTATGTAGTATAAACGCGAAGGATATTATGGGGCGGGGGCACATTAATTAAGTGACATAATCTTCAGGGACCTGTGGCCACACTATATTTATACCTTTGATTTGTAACAGAGCTCCTACTACGAGTTCTCGCCTTGTTTATCATTAATTTATGTATGAATACTACAGGTTATGTCGGCCAACAACGAGCTAGATGGGCGTCTGCCTATATATCTTCAAAGTACGTTGAAGAATTGACAAACAAAAGCTCAATACCGTAATAATTGGCACAGAATGGAGATGACCTATAGTCAGCAGTAGGTGGACTGAGTTTGAAGAAGATGAAGAAGACTGCAGATCTAATTCCATCTGTAAAATAAAACTCGACTAAATACCACAGTGTCGAACGATAAGTGCATTTTGATTGAATCCAATATCGACCAGAATAACACGCTGGTGACGTAGACCAGTCTCATTCATTTCATTAAATGGTTTATAACCAAAATATTTACCGTGTTTATGTTAGTGGAAAAATAATGCATTACATTTATTTGTACAAAGAAAAACAACTATTCAGACATTCTTTATAATAATATCAGTAAGTAAGACGTATTGTATTGTGAATCGAATACTGTTACGGCAATGTTATTAGGTATTTTCCGCTCAACCGGATTGTACGGTAAGGGAACGGAGAGAAGGTGATCCCTAAACCCAATTACTGTCCTTTTTTACATGATAACATTATAAATATTATTCCGATTTCAAAGTATCTATCTTATGTTATAGAAATTAGAAACAATGATTGTACAACATGCATTCATATGTGAATATATATATATTTTTTATGGAATAGGGGGCAGTCGAGCAGACGGATCACCTTATGAATATATTTTTGATTGAAACATTACAAATGTTTTCTAGATATTGTTGTTTTGTAATTATAAGAGGTACATTTTTAAGGTTATTAATTATAGCAAAGAATCTGCCATATCGCCCGCCAAATACGAGCGTGCTAGGCAATTGCCTAGTTTGCCTATGTGAACTCTAGCTTAGTCGTATTTCTTCAGCTGACATTAAAGGCCGAAGATAATTATGGTGTTCGACAACTCAACAAATGAATATTAGACAACATCACATACATTGCCTAGATCCTGAATTAAGTAGTAAACACCTTCGTATTATGGAATTTAAAACAAACGAAAGTACCACAACTAAAGATAACCAGCAATCGAGCCCAAGCCCTCAGAGATGGCGCCACCTTGAAATCTTTGCCAGTTCTCATTTTAAGTGATAAAATAATGAGTCCGTTCTATATTAGGTTTGCTCTTAATTAATACAGCTAGTTGCCTCGCAATTTTAACAAGATATACCTGAATTTATTTTAAGAAATATCACGTTAAAATTTCTAAACAGGGAAAGGTGGTGATGGTCTTTTAGATCAAAATACGATACCTTTAGGATGTGTTTGTGAAAAAGTTACGATATCGTATTAGTATATAACTATAACAGTAACAATTTATACGTATAGTTGTATGATTATGGTAATTCTAAGGCGAAAGGAGTCTTACCTGTCTAATTTACTAGCTGTTTCTGCAAGAACATGTCTCTTTCATCAGTTACCTCAAAATATTGACAATTCTAAAAGATAGCTTTGTACTGGCGAAAACCACAGATTTTTCTATAAATGCGCTTAAGTTGCATACGTCCTTCATTGTTTTTTTATAAGGAACTTTCTTTTTTCTATTCTTATTATCAAAATACACAGCAAAGTATGAAAAGATGTGAGTCGGAAACATATGCGAATATGAAGCACGAAAGTTTTGATAAATCTACAATGGGAAACAAATGTAATGAGGCTGAAGTAGCTAGAAAAGAGGCTGTCATTGTATTTCACGCACTTAATTTCACAAAAAGACCTTGAAACTTGAAAATGTACCTCTATTGTGAATTAACGGTAGAGCTTGACGACTACATTACCTAAGTCAAAACGACTTGGTACGTACCTACTGCGATCATTAGCGTAGTAAACTTTTAGTTTCGTGTATAATGTAGTTACCAACGGAGGCGTTGTTTTCATACCGAATACAGTTACAAATGACTTTATTAGAGCCACTAGGCGAGGTACAGTTATGTAAACTCGTAATTAGAGGTACGGGTCTAATCTACATTCCCTGTAGATTTCGTGGTGGGAAATACATTTTTGAAACAAAAATGATTTACCTTTTCAAGTTGACCTTCACGTGGGATGACCGCAACATGTGACACAAGTGACAAAGATGATGCAAAATTTTAACTCCAAACAATAACACTAACACACGTCTAACACGTGGGAAAAGGGCAATTTCGAAATATTTAAATAACTTAAAAATAGTCTTAATTTAACTATACTATTGATTTAAATTGAAAAACTTAATATTCTGCACATGTTACAGTTTATCCAATAGGAATGTCGTGTTCATAGAGTGGAAGTAGGAAACTTTATATTAAAATCTAATTGTCATAACCGATTAGAATATTTTTAACCTTGAATTGTATATTTTTTCTTATTAAGTAAAATCTTTTTAATACTTCAAAAAAGGAAATTAAACCAACTGAATTCTTTTTGATAATTTATTTTCTCTAATTCAATGATTTTTTTTACTCACCGTTGATAATTTGAGGGGTGCGTTTTTTAATCTACGGGAGTGTGCTGAATTTGCCTGAAAAGAAGAAATATTCAATAAATACGCCATTGATACAAACAGACTCAAATATTATAGTCTAGTTGTATTTAACAACGATATCTACAAACAGTAGTTGTAACTCAAATATGCACTAACAAAGACTCGACTTTTAATACCACATTCTACGTTTCCAAACACCAGAATTAGGTACAGCAGTTATTTCATAAACAATAACTAATATATTAAAACTTCCGCCACAGTAACTAACTACAATACATCACGTTACTAAACAACTGTTACAGAGAACGATACTTTTCATAATTAGCAATTCACCGTTTGCTATGTTTGCTTATGTTATGGTTATTAAACTATCCGCTGGGAATTTATTTTGTAATGAGCTTTCGCAAAATTAGATCTTTCGGTCATTTGGACTCATGGCGACTCGTTACGGGTGTCGTTTAGTTTCGACCGTTCCATTTTCAAATGTAATAAATCAGTATTATTATTATGGTGCCCAAGAATAATTTGATAATTTAGATAAGGGAAGCTTTCAAACGATTAAATATTAAAATAGATGATCGTGGCACCTAAATTTAATAGAGACGCTAGAAAAGAAAACTGACTCTGCATATTTGCTATAAAATCAATAATAATAAGTCTACAACCTTACAGTTTACGCAGTACACTGAAAAAAACTTGGAGCGTTCCACAGAGATTTTTCTTTTCAATTTAAAATACGAAGCTCACAATGTAGGTCGATTATTCAGTTCCATCTTTAAATATTCTAATGGCAGAACGGGGGTAGTCGCCTGGTAGTCAAGATAGTCATTTGTTCGTGGAGATGTCTCTGCCAATAAGTCGATTGTGCGTCTGACAGCGGACGGCGAGGTCCCTGCGGCCGCCGGCCCAACAACGGCGTTTCATGCGTGATTTGCCCTAGTCAGACCGAATCAATATTATTTGCGAGCTTTTAACTTGATAAATTTTGAGATGATGATGAGATGATTAAATAGCAAAACAAATTAAAGCTGTGTGAAATAACGCAAGTGAGTTATATAAAATACCGAGACGGGCTTGTTGTTGTCCTTTATCCCGAAACCAAATCGAACAGAAAATCAGGTCGAATAATCCACAAATTGATACGGCTACGAAGCTTTTGTGTGTACATCACATCAAACGAGATTAGATCAGAGCCGATACTTTATTCAGGAATAAACAAGCCCGCGCTCCGGCACCGGTGTATCGGAAACAAAACTCATCGGCGATCGGGCCGAATGTGTCGAGCCCCAATACCGCACGGGTCTAGACGAGCCACGCAATTTGCAGTAAATAAGGATATAGGTTTAGCGTCATTACCCCACGGCAGATCAGACGCCGTAAACACGACTTATTTAATGAGCCTTCTACGTTTTGTGTGCATCTCTATGCTTTCCGAAGTGTTCTACTGTTGATAGGAATGAAAAGCTACAAATAAAATACTGAATATTATCAGAAACAACAGCAGACTAGCTCAGCGAATGAACACCAGAACACTTTTTATAGTAATAATAAAAACGAATGCGAAAATGTTTCATGCAGAAAAGTAATCACAATTTCGTGTACTAACTAAAAGAGGAAGAAAAATACTTTCCAATTAGCCTAGATCTTTGTACATTTTGCTGTTGGATTATACAGTTTATCCTGAGAGCGGACTAAATGGAAGGCGTTTGACGTTGTCCCCTTCAGACTTGACGGGACAAAGGAGGGACGTCCGAGATGGTTTCTAATTACGACACAGACCGTTATGCAAATCAGGGGTCGAGGTGGCTAGCTCTGTCTGTAATAAACATGCGCGGTTCTTGCGGTCAGACCGCCGAATTGCTCGCCTGCCTTGCTCTCAGTTAACGACAATAAGACCATCCTGATAACAGTAGTTATTTTCTCTGAACCATTAAATACTCTTTGATTGAATTGTTCAGATTTTTAAAATTAGAAATCCGCATTCCATTCGACATTCTAAAATTGAAGATTGCAATAATATCATTATTGCCTATGTTCGTTATATACATTGACGGACTATTCTATTTAGCTGGCAGATGCGTTCCGGCAAATTGAAAGGTCAAAGGAAATAGCCCAGGTCGTGTCGTGTCGTGACTTCGGCGTTCCGAAACTGGGCCAAAGCGAGTCGCCTTTCTTCAGTTAATTTTTCGCTGAAAAATGTTGTCCGTTGTCGGACAGTGCGGTAATTTGAACTAAAAGTTTCCGAATAAGTACTAAAGCTATTGATTTCCGTTTGATGTTTTAGTGGCAACTATATATGAGCTACCGTTCAGACGTCATAGCAAAACGTAATGATCGTTTTTGAATGGCAAACGTTTCCGTTTGTACAGTAGTAATGGATACGCCATTGGCTCGTACCGTTTGGAACTGCACAAAGGTTAGCCGCGGGAGGCGTTTACTCGCTTACTTCGGAATGCATTTACGAAGCGCGTTTGCGCGAGAAGTCGTTAACCTGACCGAGCGCTGTCGCGAGCAAATAGAGAGAATTGCTCTATCGGACTTTGTGAATGCAAATAGCCTAATGCTTACTAACAATGTGTTAACTTTATATGATTAATGTAACCATTCATACATCATGTCATCAAGAATTTAGACGAGTTTGAAAGCGATGGTTAAATTACCAAACTGAGTCAACTATCATTACAACTAGTGCTTGAAAATTCAAACATATTACAATACAAACTTTTTTTTAAAAAATCTTATGTTGCATAATTTACTGATACTATTTTGTGTCAATTAATGACACAAGATTTATAAAACTATAGAAGTTTATTGATAATTTTGTACTCTACCACATGGACTCCACAGACAACAAGTCAAATTAATATAACAATTTATTGTAAAAGCACGAATCGAAAATGAATCTATACTATTTAATATAATTAGGCACGTAGACACTCCCATGTTAATTACTCGTTCATATTTCATAAGCGCACTGTGAGACAATGAAATGAGTTTTAATTTCATAAATAATGCGCACGAAAACGCAAAATAACTCGGGCAATTAACCGTGGTGCGGTGGCGTGAGATGCACGACGTAGCGGATGTTTGTATTTATTTCATTTTCAGTTTTTAATGTCGCCTCTGGTGAGGCACAGGCGTTCCATAATAAATGAAACAAATGCGTTTTGTATTATTAGAATTTATGAGCAAAATGATATCCTGAACGAAGAGCAGGGAAAATATTTTCGATTCAGAAGTACTTCAAATAAATGTGAATTAAGAAATTTCGACTTTAACTTTGTTATTAAATTGCAGATGAAGTCAGGATCTTCTACTTAACGTGCCTTCCGAAGCACAGAGGAGATCGAGGTAAAACATTATTCTATGACAGGGTCTTATTCAAGATACTTAACTTGGACCTTATTGGTTCTTAAGTTAATAAAGTTCGACATACGCAATATGTCAAACGCGAGTGATTTTGTACTCTACTCATATATTAAGGTTTAAAAAATCAGAGATATGTGACAGTTTGTATAGTCCGAAGTGCTATTAATTGTACATTGACGAGGATTTTTTAAATTGGACCATGTTTGATAAGGTTAAAATAGGCATTTAGATTATTCACCGCTACCGCTTATAACATGATGAAGGAAGCGTAAACACACGCGTGTGATATATTTACTTTATCAAAATATGTGTCATTATGAAAATTTTAACAAATTGTTTGAGCAGGCTTGGTAGCGTATCGGAAAATTGAATTCACCACAAATATTTGCTTTAGAATATACCTATGATAAGTTTTTTATGTTGTGGTTTTTCAGGGTCTTATTTAAATCAGATTAAATTATATAAATAATTCTGGTCATAACAATATAAAGTCATTCACAATGAATTATAACGAACCGGCGCACAAATTCATAAATCATTTAATACCACACGAAATTTCTAAAACGTTTCCCCATCCTGATTTATCCAAAGTGAACTACATCTGTAAATCCGGAGACGAATTGTCTGTCTGTATGTGCATTTTTCAAAAGCTGAAACGTTATTCGAACGTCTGGTACTCCATCATTCATGGCTCGAAGAGATAAGGTAAACACGTATATTTGCAAGAAGGATTATTCAAAAAGAGCAAACGATTTCTTGGTGCTATGATGGCTATAAGAAGGTCATTGTGTGTTGTTTAGTTCATATTTTCTCTTTTTAAGATTGGAGTATTCATTGTCTGCATTTACAGGAAAAAATAATTTAACTAAATACTCTGTAATAATAATAAACTATATTCAGAATTTCATATTTGATCTCAAGCAAGCTCTAAATAGTGTGAGTCTAATAATAGAATCAAAACTAATTAAAGTAACAAATTTAAAGCCATTTTAATGTGTATCTACAAAACAACAGAATGCCAATCTGTAGACCGCCAGTGGTAATAAACTTGTGATTTATGACGCACGTCTCATTAATTCTCAACATGTAGACTAAAGCTAGTTTAATCAAGTGCGAGAGAGCCGGCAACTATTATTGCTGCATCAGATATTGCCGGGAATTCGCTAGAGTACTTCTAAGATCTACAAGTTTGTTGATTAGGTTAGGTTCAAGTCTAGAAAACTGCTGAATTGAGGGAAATTTATTTATTTATTAATTCAAACACGTTTGCTGACTTACAGTACGTACCTACCAAAGCGCCAGCAAGGTAGCAAAGTACATTTTTATGTAATGTCAATAATAATTTAATTAAATAGACAAAACAAAAATTACATACATATAATTTAACATTAAAATTGGTTATTATATTTCATCAATTTTGAATTTATAATACTATAGTGAAAAATAGTATAAGTAAAAATGCTTAAAAATTCCACTTTGTCCCTGGCGCTCTGAGATGGGATAAAATTGATATTGACAATGATTTAATTTATATGACGTCATTAACTATTGCAAATATTAATTTCAAAGGAAAACAATAGTTATATTTAAAATTATTATGTCAAACTGAGATATAAATGGATTTTATTACATAATGAAAGTATAGAAAAGACAAAGCTTTGGTATCTTAAGCACAAAAACCGTGCTTAACTCAAAGTTAATAGAGAATGGAACAAAATGTATCAGATTTACTGTTCCTACGGAGGAAATAATTAAATACTACAATGATCGATCCGATGTAGCAAAATAAGAGCAAGATATACCACTTGTAATGAGGTGCGTGTCACAGAAATTGGGAGAATTGTGAGTTTAATAGCAGACGGTGCGTGGATAGCCTTACAGAGCTAAAGTTTTATTAAAAGAGGTGAACGAAAC